CCAAGCGGATGGCCTTTAGCTTGGTCAAATGGTTGTGGTGCTCCATGTCTGCTGGGAGGCAAACACTCTTGGCAAGGTTGAATGCCATTAAGTGATCTTTTTCAGCGACCATTGAATCAGTGTCCTGAATAGCCCGGTTTTGGAAAGAAATCTTTGGAGCCCACTTAGAAGAGCTAGCTCGGTCTGAACACTCCGGCTGTGGGCTCAGTGGAGGAGTTGATAGAGTGGTTTGAGGGACCACGGTTTCGTCTTCATCAACCAGACGTTGCTCGTTTGGAGTAGTCCGGGCACGCTTCCTTTGGCAGGATGATAAGGGTTGATGAGATGGAAGGGTCACCACGGTCTCTTGAGGTTGACCAGCTGGGGTACCTCGGTTAGGTTTGTTTTGGTGAGAAGGGCTCGCACGGCTCTCTTTTTGGCCATTTCTTGTTCGGCAGTAAGTGGGATAAGGTTGATTTGAGGCAAAGATGGGTCCGGTTCAGGAGAGGCTTCTAGTAGGAAGTCAGTTACCTTGGTCCTTCGTTTTCCACTGTATCGGTAGGTCGGTTCAAAATTCAGCAGGTCAGTCCAACTCCGATCTGGATATCACAGCGCGACGCGAAGCACGTTCAAGTTGGGGTAGCTATATTAGGACTTAAGAAAGTTCCTATCTGCAAAAAACAAGACAACATTCAGTACGGTTCACAATCAGAAAACCGAAATAACAAGAAGAATGCAGTAAAGCCGAGGTAACCCTACCGACTACACCCTTGTTCCAGTTTATTCTGTGGCCTAGGATCTGGGCTTGGTGGTCTTCAAAATTCCCAGATACCTAGAAAAAATAGTCATCGTTCAAGTCTTTGTCCGATGTGTCCTTTATTATTTTTTCACGCCGACGCTTTATTCGTAAGTAGTAAACCCAGCTATCTTCGGCTGATCCTGTGGAGTATTGATGAAAGAGCTCGGCTAGGCCCAGGTTAAGGCCAGCCCGGTGGTTTAACGCGGCAATGCCATTTATTATACGGTAAGAATTGGTGGATAATTGAGTAGGACAGAGTTTGGTTTGCCTAAAGAATTCACAGAGTAGGGGCTGTACAGGGAAACGTAGACCGCACTCTACGATTGAAATAACGTTAAAGGGGACAAAACCTTGTTTTTCCCAGGAGACGGTGTCTAGCTCAGCCAGTGAAAGGTGGACATCATCTGGGATTTGGTAGTCCTTACGAAATTCAACCATTGCACCAGGCGAGTTAACTAAAAACCTATACTTTTCCATTTGTGGTTTAAGTTATGAATAAATTATACGTGGGTGTTAGCTCGGTCAGAGAATGGTGCTGAGTAGCTCGGTTGAGCGCTCAAAGGAGTGCCTGGGCAACCTATGTCTGTAAAGTGAAAAACAAAGGTGTTAAGCACAGATCGTGGGACCGTGCTAAAAGAAACACAGGCAAGATAAATGAAGTCCTAGCTCGGCTATGTGAAGTGCTTCGTGTCTTAGCTCGGTTTGAGCAAGGGGTCTATTAACTCAGTTTTAGCAAGGGATTTGTTAGTCCGATTGAGCCTCTAAGGGCAGCATTCTTAGTACGGTCTGAACTAGGAAAGCTGGTTTAGCCCCAAGATATAGCTCGGTCGTGGTTGAGACTTTCAAGCACACTTGCGCAGACTTAGTACGGTTTGTTAGCCCGGCTAAGTTAAAATAAAAGATGGTTTGACTTGTTGAAACTACGGATATGTGAAATGTTAGTTCGGTTGGATACTCTGGCTAGATTGACAGCAACTACAAATAACTTTTTAGTTCGGTTATATTGCGATTTTGGATCAAAACTAGTATTTCTCATCTTCTTTCTTGAATCCAAGCGGTTCTATTACTAAGTTTTTGTAGAAAACACAAAGTTAAGTAGAAAATGGAAGCAGACATAGTGTGTTTTGAAAAGCATGCGAATACTTAGGAATGTATTACAAAAAGGTGCAAAATCAACCAAAAGGAATTAGAAGGTTGAGTTACTTACCAGGTTAAGGCGGAAAAATTGAAGATGGAAGCAACGACAGTGAAGAACACGAACTCAGCGAGCTTAGGGGTTGAAGAAGTAGAGGTACAGAGAGAGAGAGTGAAGGAGATGAATAGTATAGTGGTAGATTCAAAATGAAAAGTTTGTTTTGTGTAGAAGGAAGGACAAAAAGGGCGGGACTGTTCAAATTTCGCGAGATACGAAGACGGCGTGACAGCTGCCTTCAGCCAATGAGAGCATGCCACGTGTCCTTGGAATGAGCAGTGATTCAGTTGCTGTGATTGAAGAGACGTTTTGACCAGACAGGTAGAGCCGGCGTTAATTTAGCTCGGCTGGAAAGGCTAAAAGAGTTTTTTAGCTCAGTTGGAAAGGCTAAAGAGTTTTATCTCGGCTGGGAAGGCTAAATAGTCTTAGCACGGCTGTAAAGGCTTAAAAGTTTAGCTCGGTTGTAAGACTAAAGTTTTTAGCTTGGCTGGTAAAACAAGTAAATCCCTATCATGCTGCGCAGATGGAATTAAGGGGCAATTGAAAGGGTAATTTATACCTAAATTGGGTCGAGATGGGTAAATAGGCCGAGCTGGGTAAATAGGTCGTTCTTTGGGCCACAGTAAGAAGGGCTGGATGAAAGAGGGCTTGTAGTTAGCCCGGTCCTGGTAAGCTCTATTGTTATCTGGGTCCGAAAGAATCTTGAAGTTAGTCTGGTCTAGAGAAGCTTTGAATATAGCCCGGTTGCCGTACTCAAAGTTAGTTCGGTCATGGCTTATCGTGGTTATCTCGGCCAGAACCTTGCTATTTGTTAGCTCAGTCTGATCACACCATGGTTAGCACTGGGAGAAATCGGGGTAAGAGCAGTGAATGGAAGAGCTGAACTAAAGTTAGCTCGGTCTAGTCTGCGGCTTAGCATAGCCATGCTTACCTCAGTCATATTGGAGTCCGACCATGGTAAAACCATCTCACTTGGTTTAAGTAGTGAGGAGGGTGTTGAAGGATAAGCATTATCTTTCAGGAGTATGACTCTTAGGAGGACTCTACATGGAGGAGTAAGAGTCATACTAGGATTGTGCCACGCAGAACCTATAAAAGCTCACAACATCACATATGGAGAGGTAACACAACTTTGATTCCCAAACATACAGAGCTTTTTGTCTATTTGTCTATTTTGCTGACTTAGGCATCGGAGAGGTTTCCGGCACACACTTGCCGGCTAGCTCACGTTTGTGATTCATGGAGTAAAGCGACAACGTACGGATGCGTGCAGACTTGATTAACAGGATTATACGGGAAGAATATTTCGTACCCGTACATAAATGATTTAATTATTAAGATAGATTCTGAAGTCAAGAACCCAACAAAATCTCTCCAATTAAATTCACAACAAAAAAAAAATCATTTTTTTAATTGTCACCACATGTAAAAATGTTTTCAATCTTCTGTTGTAAACCTTAAATTTATGGTGGGCCATGAAGCATGTTGATTTTTCAACTGCAATGGAAGTGATAAACCCTCCATTTTCATTTTTGGTTTTATTAAGGAAAGTAAAATGCTGTGGAAGGAGGGTTCTTTTTAACCCTTACCTTTCTTTTATCCAATAGTGATAATTCATACAATCATTCCCTCTTGCTCTTACCAATTCACGTGAAATTGGCATTTGATTCCAAATGTCTTCGAATTTTCTTTTGGTTGTGATTAAAAAATTAATTTATTGATTTATCCAGTAGTGATAATTTATACAATCATTACCTCTTGCTCTTACCAATTCACGTGAAATTGGTATTTGATTCCAAATGTCTTTGAATTTTCTTTTGGTTGTGATTAAAAAACTAATTTATTGATTAAAAAGTTTATTTTGTTTTTTTTAAAAAAATTCTTAACTCATTGGCCAAACTTAAGGCCAGTGAAATTTAGGCCAAATTTGAAAAAATTAAATAAGTAAATTTTTTGACTTTTTATGAAATATAGGTTGGATTTGGGTTGGGTTTGAAGTGATGTGTTAGAGAGGTGATGTAACTTAAATAAGATGATGTGACTTAAATAGGATAGTGACTTTTTGACTTTTTAAATTTTTTGGAGGATGCGAAACTTGGCCTTAAAATCGTTAAAAAGTCAAAATATCACATTACATCATATCTATTAATTAATTATTTTTTTCACAATTATTTATTCAATTAAAAAAATTATTCCAAATACCATATTTTTGGCTTAATTTTAAAAAACTTGTTTAAAAAAAATAATCTGAAAATGTAAAAATTAGTTTTGTAAAAAAAAATGAAAATATCACAACACTAATCATTTATATAATTTTTTTTTTGGATGATAGAAATAATTTTTTAAAATTAAAAAATATTTTTTGATGTTTATGTTTATCAATTAATTTATATTTTCTCAAAAAATATTCTTAGAAACTCAAACTAAACATTTCATCTCATAAAAAAAAAAAATTCCAAACGAGCTCTCATTAAAAAAAAAGAATCATTTTAACAACTTAAAAAAATTAAAAAATTTGGAATAAATTTTTTGAATTTGTAGGTTTGTTAATTGAAAAATGTAAATTATTAGAGGAGGATTCTCTCCTGCCCAAATTTGGAGTAAAAGAGACTGTTTGGACCTTTAGGGCTTATCATGAATCTCGTTTCGATAATTCGAATCGTTTATTTTGTTAACCACTTCTATATTTCATCTAAAAAAAATTAAATTGATTTAATAATTGTAACTTATTTAATTTATTTTATTTTTATTAAAAAAGTATACTATAATTATGTTTTAAAAAAATAAATTATATATATTTTTGATAACAAAATAATAAATTAAATTTTGGAACAAACCTAAATTATAATGGAAAGAAGACATTAATGTCATTTGATTAAGAGATTTAAAAAGGAAAAAAATAAAATAAAATAAAATAAAAATAAAAATAAAAAATATATTTATATTTTACTTAATTTTATATATTTATTTTTTTTTATTTTTAAATTTTTCAATCAAATAGAAAATAGGGAAGAGAAGCTAACCATCCCCGTTGTCAGTTCTTTTACTACTTCCCATTATGATGCCCCCTGAAACTACTACCCAAATCTCTCTCTCTCTCCCTCTCTCTCTCTCTAGTTCGATGACGTAAAATACACAAAAAAGTTCCGTCTCTGCCATCTTCTTCTACTTTTCTCTCTCTCCACACAATATTTTGCTTTTGGAGATGTTTTTGGAGCCGCATTCGTAGATATGAATCGGAATTTGAAGGAATCTATGATCGGCGGGAGGAATATTCCGGCTGGAACTCAGCACCGTCGAGGTCTTAGCCTCACCGGAATGTCCAGAGATGCCGACGAGAACTTGGATTTATTCTCTAGGAATCGCCGGAGCCTCTCCGTCGCTTCCTCCGATGAATCTGACGGTACGAGTACGACTCTTCTTCATTTCCTCTTGTTTTTGGTTCCGTCGATTCGAATACTCTCATGAACACTGATATATTCCGTAAAATTCTGTGAGGTTTGGATTATTGTGGACGTTGATTTGGTCCTTTGATACCGAGTTGATTTATATATATATATATATATATATAATGTATTGTGTATTTTATATAAAAATGTTTTTAATTCTGATTGTCGGCTTTAGACGAGCAATTTTGTGTCTCAGATTGATGATTTAACAACGTGAAAGCCATAGTTCTTGTTTTCTGGCATTGTTCGTCATCGCTAATGATTCGTTTTTTGAGTCGGATAGGGGCAAAACGATACACGTTGAATTCATAGGATTTTTTTTTTTTTTTGAAAGTCAATTCATAGGATGTTATGAATCCAGAATAGTCTCTCTATTTTATTTATTTATTTATTTATTTTTAATTATTAACAAAATTTTTGTAAAAGAATTATTTATTTATTGGGACTGGAAATGGTTTAATGTTTACTTATTATGTTGTGTTTATTTCAGTTTTGGTGAAATTGGGGAAACTTTCAGTTGGATCAGCAAAATTGGCTAAGAGTGGAATGGATGATCTATTGTCATCGGCCGAAGGAGGAAGTTGGATCAGCAAAATTGGCTAAGAGTGGAATGGATGATCTATTGTCATCGGCCGAAGGAGGAAAGCATGACTATGATTGGTAACATCCTGAACATATTTCCGTCATTTAAAGTATTTGACTTTAATTGAATTATGTCCAATTTCAGATCTAACATCTTAAATACCTTATTGGCATCACCAGTAACATAGATCATGTTGAGTTAAATCAATGGAAATTAGGAATCACTGTGATGGCATAATAACTTGCTCAAAATTACTTGTGCCTTGTGTGGTGTCTATTGTTGTGTTTGGACCGTGTTATTTTCTTGTTTTGGACGTATCTGTGATCTGGAGTTTATTTTCAAAATAATTAAATGTTCTTTGTAGTTTGTCTGCTTACGTGAAAGCATTATTGATTTCATTGTTTTTGTCAGTTAGAGTGCACTTTTCATTCTTTGATTGATTTGGCATTTATCATTTTTATTATAATGGGATGTAAAGTTAGTTTAACTACTTGAGATGCACATATATAGTGTTAGCAGAAGCTGACAAATTTTACCGTTCTGGCTATCTTGACTGGCAAACCAATTGTTGCATTCAAAGTCTCCAGTTGTCACTCTAGAACCAACCGTAAATAATGGTAGTTTCTTCTTAATGGGTGGATTTTGCTAAGAGACTACATCATACGTGTATATATTGAGTTATGTATTGTAGTTATGCCACTTGGCATCAACGGTAGGAATAGATAATGTATTAGAAGCGCTGACGTGAGTTTTTGATACGTACTGAAATAGAGCCCCAAAAAAAATTCCTTTTTGTTCATCCTTGGAGTTGAATAGCTTAATTTCCAGTGAACTATATAAAGCATTTTTTTTCATTGACATGATTCATTTTTTCACCAATGAAACCACTGAAGATTGGACAGAACTGCATACCAGATAACTATTAGTCATTTCATCTGTTTTTTTACATTTTTCCTTTCTGTCAAGTAGGAATAAACAACCTTGTAAGATTTATCTAGAGATGAAATAAAATTGATTTTGTGAATTTGAGGTGTGTGTTACTTCTGCAGGGTGGGGACTGATAAGTTAAGTTAAAAGGTTTGGCATTATTTAAGTATAAACACAATGACAATTATTCTCCACTTCTATTTTCATGTTCTCTATTCATAATTGTTCCTGAAGATACAAATACAGTTGGACGTCCTTATGATTGGTCCATTAGAAACTTCACATTTCTATACAACATTTCTTGTACTACGATAATTATTTTGGCAAAACTTGAATAAAATATCTAGACATCATCATTATTATGGTTTCCTGATTAATAGTTATTCCATTTCATGTTTATACTTTATAGGCTTCTCACTCCTCCTGGAACTCCTCTTTTTCCTTCATTGAATGGAAGTGAGTCTCAACCACCGTCAGCTGCTCCAAGAAGCAGTTCCACGGTTAGATCAGTTTCTACAACTAAGGCTTCAAGGGTATGTTTTTTTGTTTTCTTTTTTTGAATAAGATTTTTATTCCAAAATTTTAAATCATTGCTAGGATTTTTGCCTTGCCTTTTATTTGTATGTGATGCTCATAGAGTAACCATCACCAGACAGAGAGATCTTTCCTTGTCCTGCTGTTTGGAAACTGGGAAATCTGCCTGATATCCAAACTTGCTGATCCCAAAGCCAACCTATTGTAGTAAACTTATCGAATCTATAGCACTCGTTGATCACTCAGCAATTTGAAAATGACACAATGAAATGTTAAATAGTTATATGTTTTTCTGACTCTGTCTACTACTGTCATCCTTGCCCAATCTTGAAAGAGGGAGTTTTGAATGTTGTCTGTTCAAGGCTGAGACTGATAGGTTTTCTACAGGGATCCTTTATCATGGAACTTACTAAAATTCTTTCATTGGATATTTTGCTTTTGTTTGGAAAATCTTTTATGCCTAGACAATGAATTTAATCCGAATCCAAAACTAACCTTAGTTACTTATTCTAGTATATTTGCAAAAGCATAGAAAATCATGAAAGTAGATACAATGGTCCGGTTGGGAACTGGGATATTCCTTTTGTCAAATGGGGTGAAGCCAATACAGTGGATTAGAGTTGGCTGGAGGTCTCTAGTCAACCAAGGTACCGATCTGATGTAACTGACTTGTTTGATGTGTTTTAGGCTTACTTTGGTCACTTCTTTACATTTGCACTAATTTGGTTTCAATCCATGCTTGTTGAACATAGTTCAGTGTGCCACAAGGGTTTATCCATTTAAATTACATATTTCTTATCCAGTACTTTCTCTATATATTAGATTGTTTAACCTAATGTAATTTCACCTTTATTTTATCATACTATTAAGTTCCTTCCTGTTTCAGTACTCCTCTTTTTTATGATCTAACTTAAGCATAGATCTCTAATGCAATAATGATTTGTTGCTGGTAAAGTAGCATTTCATGATATCAGTTAGGGAGATAGAAATCATGAATGACCAATCTTTCAATTTCAGCTTTCAGTGTCACAATCAGAGAACAACCATCACTCAAGACCAATCAGAAGCAGTTCAGTGACTCGCCCTTCAATCTCTAGTACCCAATATAGTACCTACTCAAATAAATCCACCTCAATCCTCAACACAAGCTCAGCTTCAGTCTCTTCCTACATAAGACCGTCCACCCCCACTACCCGTTCCTCATCTACAGCGAGACCTTCCACTCCATCTGCCCATTCCGTGCCATCCCGATCCTCAACTCCTTCTAAACCTCGTCCATCACTCACCAGCTCTTCCATTGAGAGAACTAGACCATCCCAAAATTCAAGACCTTCAACTCCAAGTTCTAGGCCCCAAATTCCTGCAAACTTGAATACCTCAGTCAATAGGTCAGCTTCTCGCCCATCGACCCCTACTCGTCGAAATTCAGCACCTTCTTTACCTTCCGCAGCAGCAACTTCTTTGTCTACTGCAACGGGATCTTCTGTGCGTGCTATATCAAATGGGCGCAGCACGGCAACGGGGTCCCGACCTAGCTCCCCAAGCCCACGAGTTCGGCCCGTGCCACAGCCAATGATTCTTCCTGATTTCTCACTTGAGACACCACCAAACCTGAGGACAACGTTGCCCAACAGACCACTCTCTGCCGGTAGGTCCAGGCCAGGTGTGGCTGTTACCGGAAAGGGGAATGTGGAGTCCCCGACTGTAAATTTGCCTAGAAGACAGCCATCACCTGTCATCTCTAGGGGAAGACTCACAGAATCCACCACAAGGGGCAGGTTGCATGCAAACGGGCAAGCTGTTGATACAATGGAGTCACGGAAGGCATTGCATGTGTCGGATTTGTTAACGCGGAAACCTGTAAAGACTTCAGCAACATCGACAGATAACTCAGGATTTGGGAGGAATATCTCAAAGAAATCACTGGACATGGCCATCAGACATATGGTACATATACTCTCTTTTTGTGATTGTATCCAATTTTGTAGGTTTTATATCATAATGCATAGATCAGGATATCTACATTTTCAATGTATAGACTCGTTTTCTCCACAGAACTCTCAGAAATATACTAGTGTCATTCTAGTATGATATTTAAACACGTTACAACCGGCATATATTGTAAAAGTTGACATAAATGCAATTATCACCATCACAATCATCCTCAACTTGGTAAATATTTAGTGGCTGTCATTGCATCACGGGTTTGCCATCAATATTGTTATTGACTTAGACACCTGGTTATCAAAAAAAAAAAAAAATTTGTTGCTATCATGTCTGACATATATTTATCTTGACCATCAAATAATCATTACTTCTGCTTACCGTATCACATTATCATCTTAATTGTTATGATTGCATTGTGATTATAGTCATTACTATTATTATTATCACATGTATATATATCACAATCAATATCTTCATATTATCGTCGTTAGCTTTTCCGAATTAATTAAAAAAGTATCACAATGTTACTGTTGTTCTCGAGTCTTTCCATGGTGTTTCAAGCAATTCGAGGTTGGTATTGCGAGTGTGATCTTCAAAAGTTTTCTAGATATCAATTCTAAATTATTATTTTTCCTATTGTATGTCTAGTTTTATCATGTTAGTATCAATTGTTAACACATTTCTATTCTACTTTTAGGACATTAGAAATGGTACCAGCAACACTCGTCCACTTTCGAGGGTACCGATCTGATGTAACCCTCAGAGTATTCGATCTGCCAATCCAAAAGGCCAAACTAGTGGTCGTGCTTTAAGTGCTCCAGCTTCTGGCAATGGAAACCTGCCTATCGGCAGTAACGGTGTCATTTCAAAAAACGGAAACCATATCATTAGGTCTCCTGAAAACGGGACCAAAGAAGAGAATTTTCGGGACTCTGCAAAACTGAGTGAATTGGACATCTATGAGAGCTCGAGGTATGATACAATTCTGCTCAAGGAAGACTTGAAGAACACACACTGGCTGCATAGTGTCGATGATAAGTCCGACCAAGGACTGATCTTTGATAATGGATTTGAGTCTCTGCCTGAGCCTTTTGACCCCTTGTAACACCTGTGAAAATGGTTTGTTCTTTATTTTTATTTTTTTCAATATTTAATATTTTTTTGAAAAATTACTTGCTTGGTTTTAAAGATCATAGTCTTTTGAATTTGTTTCTTTTTAGAGAGCAAAGGGAATGGAGAATTCATTTCATTTTATATTATTCATGATAATCTGTCCTGGTAAAAGTTAAGACCACCCGTGCTCCGTTAATAAGATTGTTATTCGAACAAATCCACTCGAGTTCGATTTGTAATCAACTCGTTATATAAACAAATCAAGCTTAAATATATTTTCAAGCTTGTTAAGTTTATTAAATCAAGCTTAAACAACTCTACTGCTTAGCTTAATAAACTAATTTAGGCCTTATTTGTCTTAACTTAAAAAAGTCAAAAAGTTAAAAAGTCACTATCCTATTTCAGTCACATCGTCTTATTTAAATCACATAACCTCTCTACCGCAACACTTCAAATCCAATCTATACATCACCTTTCTACCACAATACTTCAAATCCAATCTATATCTAACTTATATTTCATAAAAAGTCAAAAGGTATACTTATTTAGATTATTTCAAACCATTATTATAAAAAAAACCAACTCCTCGAGTTTCATTTGTATATAGCTTGTTAAAAACTTGTTCGGGATTAGTTTGTTATGTAAATATGTAAAGTTTGAATACATTTTAAAACTCTTGAACAACTTAATACCCGATTTGTTTATAGATGCATCCCTCAACGATTTCCTTCTTGTACTGATCTACTGTTCTGTTTTGTTTTTGTGGGTTTTTTTTTGTTTTGTGTTTTGTTTTTTTTTTTTTTTGGTTGAGTGTGTTAGTGTTAAGTTAGCATTTTATTGCCCCAAAAAATGAATATACAACAAAGTTCAATACAAGCCTCTAAGCTTCAAGAGGTAACAACGAGATCTCTGGGGAAAAAAAAAAAAAAAAAATATCACAACCAGAATTTTGCTTGGGCCATGACAAAACTAAATGATCGTTCTTTTCCATTGTATAATATAACTACTACATCAGAGCATATGGGGAAAAAAATAGTACAGTAAATTTTAGCAGTACATCCTCCAAATTGAGAAGCTAGAATGTCCCTTGAAAACCAATGTGTATTGACCCCATTTGGGTCCATCTCTTATCACCTACATGAAATTTCACTATCTTGCTACATTAATCAGAACGGGTATAAGTTATCGCGAATTAATTGTGGGAATTTAATGTCCCACACAATTCACAGTGCCCTTGTTTACCAAATCAGCACCACTAACGTATCTAGCAAAGAAAGATATTAACCGAAAAGGAGCCCCTATTAATGGAGCATCTGTTATCGGGACATCAGTTTTTGCATCACTCTGGATGGTTTCGAACTCTGGATCCCTAACTTCATTCTCATCCGATGCAATCTGCACAATTTCTTCAGAATTGATGGCTTTTGGAGAGTTTGGAATTACAGTGGTGTCCTCGGCATAATAATTATATTCACCATCCTCCCCCTCATGTTTAATAGAAACATCTTCTGGGAACTCCACCCTTTCACTCAATTCAGACATGGAATCAGCAACACAGACATTATCTTTGGAATAGGCATTGTCATCGTTAATAACATCTTCATGTGAATCCATTCTGTCACCAGATGGTGTCTTCTCAATAAATTCAAGCATAGGATCCAGAACATGGATGGTTTCAACGATTTCAACCGTCTGTTCAGTGCCAACAGCTGGAGAAGGGTTGGCTGTTACAACCCGTCCTTCAAGCTCAACATATAATTCATTCACCTGAAACAGAATACAGCAAAAAGAATCATATAGAAAACTAAACTTGATTTGGTAAAACAAAAACAAGGAAAACACGTAGGAACAATCAAATGAACCTAGAACGTCTATAACTCAATTCTCAATTCCAAGATCTAGTATAGAACATGTAACAGTCATGGCACACCGTCTTTGGAGATTTTCTTTTTAAATTTTATTATATTCAAAATCTGAAAGGAATAGTTTATCACCTTCTCAACAAGCTCTGAATTTTTGGCAACCAAATTCTCAACAAGTGGCTGTGCTGCTTTTGTCTGAACATTCATGTCCTCACTTTCAGAAGCATGCTGTAGTAGAAATTGAAATACAAGTAAGAAAAAATATCTGGGAAAGATACACGTTCGGCAAAAATTGTTCCATTGTGAAAACTGATGGAATTATTATTTTCCATAATTTTAGAAAAATATTATTCACTAGTGGAAATTCTCTCGGAAGGTTACAGAAGGAAGCGCATATCATTCATCTCACATTATGCATAAAGTCATTCATCATTTATATCATTTCATCAGTACAATATACTACTAAATCAAACACCACACTGCATTACTTTTTTCCAATTTTATCTTCCCAAAAATTCTGAATGCTAAAGAACTGGTTTTTCAAACATAAATCACTTTGATGAAAGTCCAAGTCCTTGCATTTCACTAAGGACCATAAAAGGCACATCATGAACCGAGATTCCCTGAAATATTCTAGAAAAATACCGTCTATACCTGTTCTATCATTAATGTGATGGTGGATCCTTAAAACACATTAAACTCCTAGTTAAGCACAAGAACCACAATATGACCGGTCCAAAATATACCAAGAAACTAGAATAAAGGATACGGGAAACAAACCATTGTCATCACAGTTGATGTCCGAGTAGAAGCAGTCTCAAGATTCTGGATCCGGAATTTCATACCAGACATGCTCTCTGTCAACCACTGGTTTTCTTGTAAGAGATTGTTTCTGGATTCTTCCGACTCCATCACCTGCCAGGCTTTGATTTTAATTTCCGTATCAGAACGAAAACTACTGCTTGCTCTACATGGTTAGTGAACAAGTGACAAGTTGTGCACAAATTATGGCATCTTTTCCATCTCCACTGTAGTAAGCAAAATAACCACACAAACAAACGGGGCATGGGAATCCAAGGATAAAAAACAAATGATTAAATAAATAAAACCAAAAAGAAAAGGTCATGAAACCAAAGGATCCCATCAGATGGCTTCTACAAAAGCAGAAAATGTTCAAATAAGACAGGACGGCTTTAATAGATGGATGTAATAGGAAACTTCCAGGAAAAAGAAAAACACAAAAATTGTTGATCCAATTCCTATCCACCTTCAGATGAAGCAATAACATGATCCTATGCTACTGATTTCTGCAGCTATGTACCTGTGCTTGCAGCCTTGTGTTATCGCCATTCAGCTTAGCAATTGTTTCTTCGGTTGAATTCTGTCAAAGAAAATCAATAGAATCAAATATAGAAAACCGTAAAAGCCATTGTATTTGATTTTTTTCCGCCCATAACTGAAAAATAATAATAATGCAAAGGTAATTGAGAGGGTAATTTTTGGTAAAAATTGGGCCGAGCTATGTGATGGGCCTTGTGGCCAAAATTGCCAAGGGCTAGGTAAAAAAGGCTGCAATGTTACCCCAGCCCAGGAGAAGTGTAGTTACTCCGGCTCAAGAAGGGATAGTTGCTTCGGCCCAAGGAAGTGTAAAGTTACTCCGGTCCGGAGGCAACTTGGAGTTAGGCCGGTCTCAGAGTTAGTCCGGTCGCAGTATGTTCTGGGTAGGCCGGTTTCAGAATTAGTCCGGTGGCAGTTTGAAGTAAGTCCGACCTTGCATTTAGTCCGGTCGTGACATACTATGGTTAGGACGATCAGAACTTGCTACTTGGAAGTTTGATCTGAACACACCAAGGTTGAACAGGGGCAGCCGAGGTAAGGAGTTAGAAGAGAAGACCGAACTAAGGATAGTTCGGCCTATTCTATGGCTCAGCATAGCCAGTGTTAAACCTAGAACGTCTATAACTCAATTCTCAATTCCAAGATCTAGTATAGAACATGTAACAGTCATGGCACACCGTCTTTGGAGATTTTCTTTTTAAATTTTATTATATTCAAAATCTGAAAGGAATAGTTTATCACCTTCTCAACAAGCTCTGAATTTTTGGCAACCAAATTCTCAACAAGTGGCTGTGCTGCTTTTGTCTGAACATTCATGTCCTCACTTTCAGAAGCATGCTGTAGTAGAAATTGAAATACAAGTAAGAAAAAATATCTGGGAAAGATACACGTTCGGCAAAAATTGTTCCATTGTGAAAACTGATGGAATTATTATTTTCCATAATTTTAGAAAAATATTATTCACTAGTGGAAATTCTCTCGGAAGGTTACAGAAGGAAGCGCATATCATTCATCTCACATTATGCATAAAGTCATTCATCATTTATATCATTTCATCAGTACAATATACTACTAAATCAAACACCACACTGCATTACTTTTTTCCAATTTTATCTTCCCAAAAATTCTGAATGCTAAAGAACTGGTTTTTCAAACATAAATCACTTTGATGAAAGTCCAATTCCTTGCATTTCACTAAGGACCATAAAAGGCACATCATGAACCGAGATTCCCTGAAATATTCTAGAAAAATACCGTCTATACCTGTTCTATCATTAATGTGATGGTGGATCCTTAAAACACATTAAACTCCTAGTTAAGCACAAGAACCACAATATGACCGGTCCAAAATATACCAAGAAACTAGAATAAAGGATACGGGAAACAAACCATTGTCATCACAGTTGATGTCCGAGTAGAAGCAGTCTCAAGATTCTGGATCCGGAATTTCATACCAGACATGCTCTCTGTCAACCACTGGTTTTCTTGTAAGAGATTGTTTCTGGATTCTTCCGACTCCATCACCTGCCAGGCTTTGATTTTAATTTCCGTATCAGAACGAAAACTACTGCTTGCTCTACATGGTTAGTGAACAAGTGACAAGTTGTGCACAAATTATGGCATCTTTTCCATCTCCACTGTAGTAAGCAAAATAACCACACAAACAAACGGGGCATGGGAATCCAAGGATAAAAAACAAATGATTAAATAAATAAAACCAAAAAGAAAAGGTCATGAAACCAAAGGATCCCATCAGATGGCTTCTACAAAAGCAGAAAATGTTCAAATAAGACAGGACGGCTTTAATAGATGGATGTAATAGGAAACTTCCAGGAAAAAGAAAAACACAAAAATTGTTGATCCAATTCCTATCCACCTTCAGATGAAGCAATAACATGATCCTATGCTACTGATTTCTGCGGCTATGTACCTGTGCTTGCAGCCTTGTGTTATCGCCATTCAGCTTAGCAATTGTTTCTTCGGTTGAATTCTGTCAAAGAAAATCAATAGAATCAAATATAGAAAACCGTAAAAGCCATTGTATTTGATTTTTTTCCGCCCATAACTGAAAAATAATAATAATGCAAAGGTAATTGAGAGGGTAATTTTTGGTAAAAATTGGGCCGAGCTATGTGATGGGCCTTGTGGCCAAAATTGCCAAGGGCTAGGTAAAAAAGGCTGCAATGTTACCCCAGCCCAGGAGAAGTGTAGTTACTCCGGCTCAAGAAGGGATAGTTGCTTCGGCCCAAGGAAGTGTAAAGTTACTCCGGTCCGGAGGCAACTTGGAGTTAGGCCGGTCTCAGAGTTAGTCCGGTCGCAGTATGTTCTGGGTAGGCCGGTTTCAGAATTAGTCCGGTGGCAGTTTGAAGTAAGTCCGACCTTGCATTTAGTCCGGTCGTGACATACTATGGTTAGGACGATCAGAACTTGCTACTTGGAAGTTTGATCTAAACACACCAAGGTTGAACAGGGGCAGCCGAGGTAAGGAGTTAGAAGAGAAGACCGAACTAAGGATAGTTCGGCCTATTCTATGGCTCAGCATAGCCAGTGTTATTTCGGTCACATAGAAGTTCGGCCGTGGTAAAAACCATCCCACTTGGTTTAAGCAGTGGGGGAGGGTGTAAAAGGATAAGCATTATCCTTAGGAATATGAATCCTAGGAGGACTCTAC